TCAAACTGTTATTATATCTACTGACCACTTATCTCGATAATTGTTTTGGCGTCTGCTCATCAACATTCATCATATCTACAAATATTAATAACCTCTCTATCGACTCACAGCTTGAAGTTGTTTCGCTATTCTCAATTTTTGGACATTTACATATCTGCCTATCTCAAACTTAAATATAATGTTTTTGAAATTAACGTCTTAATAATTTATAAATATATATATATATATATAATTTAATCATAAGACAACGAAAATGGCTTCAAGTTAGCCATATCTCAGCCATATAAGAACAACTATAAAAGCTTTTAGTCAATCATCAAAATTACAGAACTTGAGTATACTAGCAAATGGCTAAAAACAAACAGCTTATAATTAAATCGATAGCAATCTTAAAACATGTAAAAATCATGGGAGAGCAAATATAGCATAAAATATATCAACTTCTAGTTATAAGTACGTTTTTTAACTCTATTGATACTAAAATCTTCATGCTGAGAACGACAAAAGTATGGCATTAAATACACATGATAACCAGCTTTAAAATCCTGCCACATTAACTACTACTCACCGAATTTCGATCATTTATCACTTCAACCAACTGTACTGTTACACAGAGAAAGTAGTTGCACTGAAAGTCTTGGTGTTTATGGGTGGTATGGGGCAAAACTGCCGGTCTTACAAATGACGCAACGTGATCACCTCCCGTGTGTACGAGTATAAAACACCCTCTACTGGTTTTTAGTAAACTCTGTTCTACCCATGTACCGTCTTTACAACTGTATCCGCTACAATTAATAGAGTGAAGTTGATGCACGATTCTATATTAGGGAAAGACACATGCTGCTAGTAATGAAGAATACCTAAAAAACTATAATAAGTATTTCGCATGACACAAGAAAAGTGAGAACCACGCTAATCAATATTTGTGTTGAAAGAAGCTAGTTTACTCAGAAAAACATAAGCTATCATACTATATCATGAAACTTCCATGGGCTGTGATGCTCGAAATAAGAGAACAAATAATCATCAATCATTCATCCTAAAAATCATGTAAATACCTTGATTTCGTATTTCTCAAAATCAGCAAAAAGCAAAGAGTCTATAAAATTTTGTTTTTAAAAAATAAGAAATCGTTAATCTTATTTAAGACCTTATCACTACTGCTATGTTAAGACCTATTTTTTGTGAAGTATAACACCGTGAAGCTAACTAGGAAATGTTGTGAAAAGTTAACAAAAACTAATTCGCAATGAATACATTTACTATTTTCACATAGTTTTCAGCAAGAGCCATACTGTTGATAAAAAAATAAAAGGACACTTTTAAGAAAGAGAAGCAAAATGACGGTTTTAGAACCGTCAAAGCCTTCAATGAAAAGACACATTAAATGCGGTTTAGACTGTAATGGTCAAAATTATTATATCATAATTAAAATAATGTCCTTTCGATTTATGAAACGTAGCTCCTGCCATATTTTTATTGTTTTTAAGAAAATATCATATTGTAAAGTCAAAACATAAGTATAAGTTACTTCGCTATTTAAACATATATTATCCATCCACAAATAAATATTCATGTTTCTGAAGTGCAGATTTCGATGGAGCGAGCTACACTTTCATACAGTCAAATAATCTCAAGATTCTTCTTCACGGAGATTAATACTCGGTTTTTATATGTACATTCTATTTTCCATTTGTTCACCTAATTACTGAACTGTTAATTAATTAATCAAGACACTACGCCAATTAAAATAATGATTATATATATTTTTATTTTGAAGCTGATAAGTGGTTTTCAAATTTGTAACTACCTTTTTTTGTTTTGTTTTCGAACATTCGCGCAAAGCTATACTAGGATTATCTACGCTAGCCTGTCCTAATATTAAACTGACAGACTACAAGAAATGCAGCTAACCAACGACAACTCTTGTCTAACTGGATAGTGGGATTTGACAGTCACTCTCATAACGCACCGACGGCCTCAAAGTGTGAAATGCTTTTTCGCGGCAACGGCACACGAACTACGAACCCTCAATTCAAAGTCTGAACACACTATAACCACCAAACAGCGCCTAACCGTATTTTAGCAAGACTATATATCACAAAAGCACATATACATACGGTATTCAAGTTACATTCAAAATTGTGTAGTTGTGCACAAAGCTACACACGGGATATCGAAACCCGATTTGTAGTGTTCCAAGCCCACAGGAGAGGGGCCAAACTGAAAAGTATCGAGTGTAAGCATCTCTAAGTAAAATTTACTGGAGGGGGCAAACTGAAAAGTATCGAGTGTAAGCATCTCTCAGTCAAATTTACTGGAGGGGGCAAACTGAAAAGTATCGAGTGCAAGCATCTCTCAGTCAAATTTACTGGAGGGGGAGCAAACTGAAAAGTATCGAGTGTAAGCATCTCTCAGCCAAATTTACTATTTTCATAAAATTCAAAATAAGTGTACTTAATAAAGAAGTGATAGAACAATTTATGAATGTTGTATAATAACAATCAGCGTTAAAATTTATTTGTCCATACCATAAAATAAGACTGACTGTGACTGCTTTTACCAGCTGACATTCCCCCGACAGACCGACGTGCTGGAATGACTGTCTTGCTGTCATCGTCCTCTGTTGGTCTGAAAAAATCCAATGTACACTGATTGAAATCAACTTAACCAGCGAAACACAATAAGTTTATAGTTCAAAAGAAAAAAAAATATCAAGTATTAAAACGACACAAACTTCTGCAAAAGTGAAGGAACAAAATCTGTCATTATTACATAACATTAAGGATAACAGTGCTCTATTTTGGGGGGGTGGGAGTTCTCAAAATGAGTACACCGCTACAGATCATTTTGCATATTTTATTTCTAAACATGATCGTCTTTGCATACTTTTAGTCTAAATTATTTGGGTTTGTAATGCACAAAATGCACTCGTAACAAAACACCCATCAAACAATTATTCCAAACATATCGATATTCTTCAAAATCAAACCTAAAATATTTAAGCATTTAATTCTGACTAACCTATAGGCACTATTTTACGATTTACTTGTGAGGCTAAAAAAATTGTAAAGCTATTTAACATTTTCAGACATGTAGCGAAATGAGACGTATAACACAGACTTCCATCAGCTACGTTTTTATTTTTAACGTTTAACAGAAAACTAGTGTGGCTTCAAGAACCACTTTTATGTGTTGGTTTGGATATTTGCATCTTCATATAGTTTAATTTGATAAGTAATTTGCAATTAATCAATTAGATATACCTAAAGATCGAGTCGAATAATATGTGTGTACAGAGTGATGCAAAAGAAACCCACCCCCATGATATTTGTAGAGATCAAGGTAACAACGTCCATAACGTGTTTTGTAACAGGTACAATGTTCTATTGAGGTTAATTGCACTTAATAAGAACGACGCTCCAGGCTGAACTTGCAGTTACTTCCTCTATCATTCACAATGCTCCAAGTGATGCCATTAAACCAACACTACTAGACACCACAAATTTCAATGTAACAATTTTTTGCGAAAGGCTGCGAGGTCAACCTTAAACACATCTTGACAATATCTCACACGCCCTTCTCTGTAAGTAGGGGCATAGGCTTCCAAAATCACTTTTAAGCAAACTAAAGGCACAAAAATCTCTTAGAGCTGCAACATGTTGATGTCAAAAGGGTTTGCTATGATTCCAGTTTCTTCGGCAATCTATTTATTTCGAGGTGTAGATGAAAGCTTGTAAACATTAGGCTTGTGTGACTTCACATCCTTGTCTGATATCATGTAGATGATACCAGGAGATATGCACAACTTCACCAGAATGTCTTTATGTGCAAGAAGGGTTCTCATTTGCAGATGGATGTGGTTTTGGAGCCTCTTGATCTATTATACTCTGCTCTACGAATCTCCCCTCTTTCATGCAAAACATTTTTGGTTTTGCATCGTTTAACAATCTCGCTATACGAATACCCTTCTTCCGCAAGTACTGTTACACAATGTTTTAATCTACTCTGTTGACACTGCATTGCCAGACAGCCAGGAAATCACGTGGAATAAAATACATAGGTGCTAAACATGTCGCCTATAGCACAACTGCTCGTATATGCGGCGACACGTCACTGTATTAGCTTACAGAAATTATTCAGGCGGAAACATGAATAGGAACACTAAGGCTATCGTCAAAAAAATATATTTAATCTTTGAATACTGCAAAACTTACGTATTTCACAAAAAATATTCAAAAAAGCATGATATATAATACATGGTCAATAAATTAAGCAAAGTAAACGGTAACTGTGATACACTAGCATTAAACAAATAAAATATACAGTACAAAATTAGAAAACTGTTAAAATTGTCACTCGTAAATTACAGTATTTCCAAACCATATGAAATATATGGCAACTAAACATAGCTTATGCTACTCAAAATTATTTGTTTTGTTTTCCATATGCGTAAAAATTTAACTAAATCCTAATATTCTAAAAAATGTACTAATATTATATTTCCAAGAAATATTCATAACACCTACAGATTTAATGCAGCATTCATTAATATTACTATACAAATTTTCCTTTCAACTTTAATATTGCTATTATACCATAACTATAACTTTAAGCATTTTTATGTTGGAAACTTATTGCATCTGAGCCCATCTTTGCAACAATTGTTAGGTGATCAACTAGCTTGATTTTAGTATGAAGTACAGTAATCTTCCTGTTTTATATATAAACAATACGCATAACTGGTTAATTTAACGCTTGATGGGATATATTTTATTAACTAGGATGATCTGAGAAGAACTTTATATGATTGCCAAATGAGACCATAATGTAAGTTACTAAAAGTACAGACAGTCTCAGAACTGAGTTTAAGAAAATTGAGAATTAAGTAAATAATATGCAATTTCAACACTACAACCCTTCCAACAACGTCATTTTTATTTCTAACCAATCATTTGTATATTATTTTAACTAGGAATAGTTTTAACTATTATAGTACCCCCACGGCAGAAAGAGTGAACATGTTCAGAATGATAGGCGAGCGTACTAACCACCAGGCAAAACTATCTTTGTTATGGGCTATCTGTGGTGTACTCATTACGGGTATCGAAACCCTATTTTTAGCATCACAAGTCCTCAGATTTACCGCTGAGCCACTTGGAAGGACACCAAGAAAAATGTACGAACTAATGATATGCCCCCACTAATGATATTATGTATGTTTAAGTACCAACAATTTAATGATGTGGTCCCTGTCCACAAGACTGGGGTTGAGTTCTTTGACTCATCACCTTCAAAACTTAATCAGCTCTAGAACTTGCATGTAGTAGCTGTTTCATAAGTTTGGTTAATATCCATCCATCTTGTATTAAAATATTATGTTCACGGAATTGGGGAAGATTTTCTATGTCCCAATGAATTTTGACCTATGACCTTCAAATGTCAGTCACATTTATAACTCTGCATGTAGTCCTATTGTATAAGTTTGACTAAAATCTATCCATCCAATTTTGAGATATCCTGTCCAAAAGATTGATATGGAAGAACAGGGCCAACCAATACGCTGGTCCTGCGATGCTTCCCAGTAGTTGCATAAAAAAGTCTCAAGAAAAAATTACACAGAAATAGCGACGTCTGAGTAGTCACTGATAATTTTATCAAAATGTTAACCATTACAGACTGTAATAGCATATGTTCTTTAATGTAGCATATTTTTTAGATGTTTAACATAACCTTATTTTCATAGTTGTTAATTATATTTCCACAAGTCCTCCCCTTGTTTAAATTGCTTAATTTTACAATAAATGACTATTTTCTAAAAGTTTTGCAGATCCTGTATTAAACTTTCACAAGTAATAAATTAACTTAGACAATCTCCCTTAAATGTATTTTTGCGTCTCCGTGTAAGTATACGTTTCATACTACTGAATCAAGTTCCTTAAGGGTTATTCTAATAAAATATGTTGGTTTATATCTCGAACAATAGTTCTTGATATAATCTTGTTAATATGTTTGTGGTTAAGTATCTAGTCTTTCTTTAAGGTTAAGGTCACTAAACGAAACACATATTGAATTCTTAAGTTTTTAAATTTACTTTGAAAATATTCATAAATTAATGTTTTATAATAGTTGTGGTTTTATACTATAATTAAAGTAAATATTTTTAGTTTAACCATTAATTAAAGAACTAGGAATTTCCCTTTAACTCTTTTTTTTTAATTTATGATTTTTGTGTTTGTTGTTAAGTGCAAAGCTACACAATGGACTATCTGTTTTCCTGCCCATCGCGGGAACTGAAGCCTTGTTTTTAGAGTTGTAAGCTTTCAGACTCACTGCTGAGCCACTAGGGGCGTTATGTAGGGCATGATTTTCTGACAAGAATTATTTATCAGCACATCACCGTCTCTCAAATTTCAAGCATAAGAATTTAAAAGTATTCACCCATTGCAACTGTACGTAACATTCTAACGATGAAAAAGTCTTTTTTTGAATATAAAAAAAATTAAGTTTAATTCTTAATATTTTAAAATGTGACTTCTTTTCCAAAATTTTCAATCAACTACATATAACAAATATTATTGTTAATAAAGCTAATTTTCACACACAAAAAAGTACAGTAGCTTACCAATTCTTATTTCTTTAAGACAGCAACTGAACAGGAAGCTAATACAAAACAATATATTTATATAATAGAAGCCGCCCCCAAGTGGCACAGCGGTATGTCTGCGGACTTACAACGCTAGAATCCGGGTTTCGATACCTGTGGTGGGCAGAGAACATATAGCCCATTGTGTTAATTACAAACATACATACATACAATAAAAGCCACTCTATGTACGGAACTCCCCCTTTGTCGGCAACGTTCGCCTCTCTATTGGTATCGTTCAAATTAGCTCAGTATTTCTCACAAACAGAAGTCTCGCGTTCAAATCCCAGTCGAGTGAGACTTTTTTTACAACTTTTTAAATTATTAACTCATCATGTTTAGAGAAAGATATTACAACATTAAGATAAAATACGATAACATTATACAGCGGTTACAGTGCTCGACAATTAAATGGAAATCTCGATTGCAAAATCCCAGTTGAGTTGAGATTTTATGTTATATTTGCCATATTTATTATCATATGTATAACAAGCTCTTTGACTATTCGATAAAATACGAAAACAATTTCAGAATAAATCAGGGATAATATACATAATAAATACGTGTGACTTTATGTGTCAAAAACAACTTAAATATCTTTTCAACTCAATAGATGGCGCTAAAATACCTTATTATTGCTGTTTCTCACCTTCGGTAAGATATTTTTAACAATTCAGTCATAATATGTATAAGCATTTTTAATGAAAAGTTCTACCTTCGTGAATTTGCCCTTCACCATAAAATTCATTGCCTTTTCCATCACCAGTTTTTCGTATGGTTAAATTTATAATGCTTTGAACATAACGTATAATCAGAATTTACCGTCACATAAATAAAAAACACTAAATCAGTGGAACATTGTGCACAGGTAGCACATGAACCCATATGACAAACATAACTCAAAACGATTTTTAGATCACTTGTTAATCATTAATCTTATTTTATGCTAATAATTATGGTTCTCTAGTACATCGAAACGAATCAA